TGGACTTGTGTGCATTCAGGTTCCTCAGGTGGTCACGAACCTGGTCTTCTCCTACAGCAGGAGGGGTTTTGCCCTCCCGGTGCCCCTCATGCCATCCATCGACTCGGGAGGGGTGAGGAGAGAGGTTGCCAGTGAAGACTGAGGCAAAAAAGTCGTTGAGTACCTCAGCCTTCTCCTCATCTGCTGTTACCAGCCTGCCAGTCTTGCTCATCAGTGGGGGTACACTTTCTTTAACCATCCTTTTCCGGCTGATATACCTGTAGAAACCCTTCTTATTATTCTTCGCATCCCTAGCCAAGTTCAGTTCCAGCTGCGCCTTGGCCTTCCTGACCCCATTCCTACACAACTGGGCAGCGCCCCTATACTCTTCCCAGGATGCCTGTCCCTGCTTCCACTGCCTGTGCAGTTCCCTCTTCTTCCTTAGTTCGACCAGCATCTCTTGTCTCAGCCACGCCGGTCTCTTCCCTTCTTTTCCTGATTTCTTACAGCTAGGGATCGAGAGCTCTTGCGCTCTGTGGATCACATCCTTAAAGATCCGCCAGCTCTGTTCTGCTCCCCTGTCTCTGAGGACCGTTTCCCAGGGAGTTCTTCTGACTATCTCCTTGAGGAGCTGGAATTTTGCTTTTCTAAAATTTAGGGTCCTGACTATACTCTTTGTTCTTGTCATTTCCCTTAGGAGCGTGAGCTCCACCAGCGCATGGTCACTGCAGCCCAGGCTGCCTCCGATCTTGACATCTCCGACGAGCTCGCTTGCATTGGTGACCACCAGGTCCAGTATCGCATCCCCTCGGGTAGGGGTGTCTATTACCTGGCTTAAGAAGTTGTCCTCAATGCATTCGAGAAACCTGCTGGATTGCCTACATCCTGCCATGTTGGTTTTCCAGCAGATGTCGGGGTGGTTGAAGTCCCCCAGCAGGACAAGAGCCTGCGAGCGTGAAGCCTCCCGGAGCTGGAGTCTGTTGCCCTGTCAGTGCTGGGCCAAGCCGCCTGCCTCCCAGTGGGCCCTGTGCCCCTCTTGCGATACAGCTCTGGGGGGGCAGTCCACTATGACTGTAATACTGTGGATGTGCTACCAGCGTAACATAGGTAACTCAGCCCTAGTTAAAGATTTCTTCTGCTTTTGGTTAAATTGCAAATGGATTATGCAGCAGAGTTAAGGAAGTAGGAAAATGAGACAGCTGAGCAATAATGAGGGGAAATAGTCTGGTCAGCTATGATATGATAAATCACAGTCATTTGTAGATCTGACTAGCTACTAGCATTAAATAAGCCTGCAAAATAGTAACTTCCTAGTCTTTTCTAAAATACCTAACTAAACCAGAATGTATCTGGTGAGTAAGTACACAAGTTACTAAGGTGAACGTTCCAAAAACACTAATTGGAAAGTAGCCTTGTGCAAGACCTGTTATTAGAGCAAGACAATACCTAATCAGAAAAACTGGTAGAGCTGTTCTTAGTAGGATTTATAATCGTATGGGGGGGAAAGCATATTTTAGGACTAATAATGTTAATATTGTGGTAGTCATATTTTGGCCTTGGCAGCATCAAAACAACACTTCATAGTGTGTCAGTAAGTACAGCAGACTTGGGCTAGAAAACTGAATAGGCAGTCTGATGGGATGGCTCATGATAGCCTACAATATTAAAATATTTTAAGTAGGCTTTCACTCCCAAAGAAGATATAAACTCTTTGAGAGCTATCATGAGATAAAATTACTGAATAATCTATGTGCATAACTGAAGCTGACCTTTATGGCATTTACTGTATCAACATGTGCTTCTGCTTACAATCAAGATATTAACAGTAAGTCAAACAGAACCAGTTTCTGACTCAGAAGCAGCTTCTGGAACTGCGCTGACAGAAATATTAAGCAGTGGAGGGAGGTCTTGCATCTTCTTGGCTGCCAGATTATTCATCTCAGCTACTCTGTCAGCTCTTCTTTCACCTCTCAGCACAGTTCTGCCAGCAAGTCTGATGGCTTTAATTTAGTAATTCTGTAATGTATTGTCTGAGCCCTTGCATTTTTGTTCTAAGGCACTAGAAAATAACTGTGCACTATGTTCTTTATCAGATAAAACAGTACGTGCTTCTGCAGGAGAGATGACAATTAGCCTGTCACAACATTGGGTATCTAGTTTACTACTCAGGTGCTGCTAACTGATTTCACAAGAGATGAAGTGATACAACTAAAAAAGAAGCAGTAGTTTGTTTTGTAATTTTAAAACAGATAAATGTTGCTTTAATTTTCCCTCCTTCCAGTGCCTGTCTCCACTGATTCACTGTAGGGATTATCTGTTTTCCTAACAAATTGTATTAGAGTTAAAGGTAGTTACATTGAATTTATGGATTGTGGTTTGGTTTTCAGGTTTGTACACTGGAAAACCTTGACCATTTGTGGAATATGTTAAGATTTCATTTAATTGCTGACTGAAACATATAGCATAAAGTAGTTCAAAACTATATCATTTGCTGCTGTGTGCTTGCCATACCTTACAGGCAATCCTCTCCCCATGGCCTTTCTATTGTAGAGCACTATCGATGCCAAAGGCTTGGTATGCCTAACTGAGCAATATCTCTTGGTCTTTGTTTCCACAATAAATAGAACCACCTCTATGATGAATGTGGTGTTTTGTTCATGTGCTTAACATGAAGTCAGCTGATTTCTCTTTTTCTTTGGAGCGTTGCCCTGGAACTTGAACTACCATGGTATCAGAGACTTGCTCTGTAAACTGCACAGGAATATTTTGGACAACTTGACAGTTGTTGCTCTCGTTTAAGTATCTCAGTGGTGTTTACAGTAACTATTTTGTTCCTCTGAATATTGGAAAACGTTATTAATCGAAGAATAACTCTTACCTCACTGGTGTTAGATATGCTTACAGAGCTTGTTGGAGGTTCGATAAAAGCTTTAAATTTTGAGGAGATAGGCCAAATTAGAGAAGATATTAAATAGATAACTTTCTAATAACTTTCTAATTAATTTGTAAAAGGTGGTTTCCTGCTTTGGCCCAGGATGAATGTCTGTGGAATTGTTTGCCTGTATGTACCTGAATTGTTGTAACTGGCAGCTCTGTATTAACACGGGAGAAGCCACAGCATTTACTTGACAGATCAGGATAGTGTCTTTTAGTTGGGTGATACGTAGCAATACACTCTCAGTAGACATCACGTTCTGCCATCAGTAAGAAATGGGTAAAGAAAAGATATTTTAGTAGGGCCAGCTGTAACAGGACAAGGGGTAATGGTTTTAAACTAAACCAGGGTAGGTTTAGACTAGATATAAGGAAGAAATTCTTTACAATGAGGGTGGTGAAACACTGGAACAGGTTGCCCAGAGAGGTGGTGGAGGCCCCATCCCTGGAAGCATTCAAGGCCAGGGTGGACGGGGCTCTGAGCAACCCGATCTAGTTAGTGTTGTCCCTGCTCACTGCAGGGGGGTTGGACTAGATGACCTCTAGGGGTCCCTTCCAACCTAAAACATTCTATGATTCTATGTCAAAGCTGAAGAGGTTTGGGCCCTAAATATAAATGGAGATTAAAAAAAAAAAAA